TTTCTACCGCTAGAAAGTGAAAAGCCGACCTAGTTTCGGCTAAAATCGACCTAGAACTGTTACTTTACCAGTGTCGGTGTCGGTGTCGGTTCCGCTCGATTTCCTCCGTCCGAGGTCGGAAATCCGTCGTTTCCGAGCTAAAATCCGCGAGTAAAGTTGCGGGTCGCTGTTCAAAGCGAAGGTCCCCGTATTATTGGATTAATCCTATCGCGCTGCAGACTCTCGTTCGAGTCTGATCCGTCAGTTGGGAGAAGAGAAATTCCGTACGTTCGGGAAATGAGATTCCGCTCTTCAATGTGGAAGAGACCAAGGAACTGTGCTCACCAGCTGGGCAAGAATCACTTCAGTGATCCTCGGTTTCCTCAGCTGTAAGACGATGCGATCAGTCTGATCGACAGTCAATGCAGAGATTGCTTCAGCAATCGGTCTGACAGTGACTGAAAAGGTTTCCAGACAGGTTCTCCGTGAATGAAGCCTTCACCGTCTCCTCAAAGGGTCCGTTGAAAGAAAACCAAACGATGCTGCTTACCATGTAACAGGCAAGCGCGAGGAGATCACGAGTGCTCTTTATTGACAAATAAAGGGGGAACAATGCTGCGTAATAGCAGGAAAGCAAAACAAAGCACTGATGGCTAACAAGCAAGTGAATGCTAGAAGGAGCTCTTGAGCGTCTGCCAAGGCGTGAAAGAAGCAACTGGCGGCAAGCACGTGGTGTGAGCCATCAGCTGTGTGTTGATGCGCAGACTGGACTCAATCCAACGCGAGCGTACGCTGAGTCATACAGCGAGAGAGGGACGAGAGAGCAAGTATGCTCAGTGTGTGCGCCGCGTATATCCGCTTCAGCGGATATGAGTGCAGTGCAGCAGCACACGTACGTACAGCGAGAGAGGCGATATGGCAAGCATGAGTGCAAATACGTCCATGGTGGGCCGTATGCACCAGGCGCAGTCATGTGCCTCTGACACTGACCACAAGCCGCGAAATTATCAGCGGCAGCAAATGTTTGTATAAGTACCAGAAGATGCGCGCGCTATCATAAATAATCAGGTAGAACAATGAAATTTATTGCCCTGTTTTCATCTCCATCTCCATTTACCACTGGCGCATGAGTGTCAGAGAGTCATTCCTGCTCAGCTGAAACAATACGTGACCCGAAGAGGCCGGGACATAACAGGATGCGCAGCAATCGCACCAAGAATAGGCATGCTGTCCAGCTTAGTCTATACCGTTCACAAAAAAGTCATTTTCTCAAAATAGCAAATGTGGGGCAAATAATTCGGTGTTTTATCCGACTCCAAGTTTGATCGCTCCATCACATGGAGTAAATTCCCATACACATTCTGAACCAAAACGAAGCTGGTCAGATGTAAACTGACCAAGTTATAAGAGTTTAAAATTTTTGAAAATTCATTGCTTCTTTGTTTTTTAAGGTATCATCACCATAATGGTTCAGAATGATCTTAAGATATAGATTTACCATAATGGTAAATTTGGTCGGAGTCGGATAGATAGGTGAATTATTTGACGCGTCCGAGTTTTTAAACTTTTTCCGGTGATAGTACAGCAGCCGGTTATTGCGCGCACATTTTGAGTTTAAATCGGTGAAGTTCAATGTTTTGAGCACCAAAAGCAGTAACGTCCACTGTAGAACTGTTTACGAGTCCGCAGTGGTGTTTTTTCTCGCAAGAGGGGTGCAAACGAGTAGAAACTCAGCTTTATTCAATGAAAAATTGCAAAGCCGCAGTTAAAATTTAAATCATTAAATCAGTCCCGCCAGCATCTCCGTGGTTTTTCTATTAAACTTTTAGCTGACGATTATTCTTTTTCTTGTATTACATGTTCTCAATTTTATGTGCGGGCGATAAGTTCTGCAATCGTACCACGGAAGTTGTGACGGAACTTAAGTGTCAGTTACCAAGCAATGTTATCTCCTGGGGATGCAGAAGATAACGTTGCCGTACCACCGTACACGGTGATTACTAAAGGTGGCTTGATTCGATTGGACAACATGTTGTGTCGGCTCAGCTTGCACAACATGCTGCAAAGTGCGATTTGAAGCCGCAATGGATAATTCAACAAAAGTATGCCTGTACACATGTAAGCGCAGCGCTGTCTGCGGAGATAAAACAAACTCAAGCAAAAACCATCATATTGATTTTGCCAACAAAAAATATGAAGCAGCTTTACCGTTACAGTGGATTTGCTAAGCGGACGTGGCAGTAATGGCTTTTGGTGTGGATATGTCCCGTTATTTTTCGTTGATCTTGATGTAAGGCATGCAGTACGACATCGTCCAGGATTTAACTAGCAGAATAGGCGCAGGTAGCCAACAGGAAAGCGACTAAGTTGACAATTTTTTTGTCCTCAAGGAATTCGCCCGAAAGAAAGGTTGACGCTTCATTCTACTTTGAGAGCTCTTGCTAGCCGGTCACTAAATTAAGATTTTTCGGATTGCTGCAGATACCCAGCATCCATATTTTGTGCTCTTTTTCGTGTCATCATATCCCCCAAAATAGATGGGTTAGTTAATTAATCTGGATCTCTAAAATCGTCCGACCAGTCGAAATTTAATTTACTTTTCGCGCAGCAAACAATAATATCGCGAGTACACGCGGTATATACAGTTATAACGACCACTAAACAAGCTGATTGCCAGAAGAGCAGTGCAACGCGAGGAGCAACACTAACGTTGTTTCGTAATGCATGTTGCAACTGAATGATGCGATCAGTTAAAAGCTTTGAGACCCTTGTTATTCCTAGTGTCACGAGGAAGGTCTAACACCCCCTCGAAATACAGATAAATCAGGATGTGGAAGACCGCGGGTCTTCCACAAAAGAAGAGTTTATTGCCCAAGAAGGAAAAATACAGAAAAAGGAGAAAAGGGATGCAATAAACTGAGCGTTTCCACAGGAAATGCATGACATCTGTACCAGCAGCCACCGAGGGTGGTTGCTTCATACATCGAGCAGACACCGTGACACTAGGTAAAGGAAGCGAACCATTCCCGGAAATAGATACCCACTAACTTCCTTTTTATTCTCTAGAATTCGTGTTCTTCAGAAATTCATGGAGAGATGCGGGACCAAGGAATCTGGGTATTACGACACACGATACGCCCGTTTTGGTTGTGTTCTGTCTCCAGCTGTGTTTGGTTGTGTTCGGTCTGTTTTGGTTAGATGCTCATGTGAAGGGTATAAATCAGAGAATGTTACAACGCTAACTCGTGTCACTTGTCGCAGTAAAAAATTTCCGTCCATATTACTGATCGTTAAACATTTTTCGTTCCTTTTACGTTAAATTATCTGTCATGTCCGTGACTCTCGAACAAGCTCGCACGTTCAGTCTGAAGCAACTGGGCCGCTTGAACCTTCCAGAGATCAAGCAGCTCATTGTCGAAGTTGAAGGCGAGCAAGTTTTTGACGAGCTGAAACCAGCTCTTGTTCAGCGGCTTTATGATTTACTCCACCCAGATGAACCTTTGGAATCGGAAACCGAAGCTGCAGCAGGTAAAGGTGACTCACCCTCAGACCTGGCTACAGCTATCGGAATTTCCGCGGCGTCGGTTTCACAGCTTTTCGACAACGGATACAACTCCATCGACGATGTTAATTTGCTGGGGAAAGTCCTCGAGAACCCGAGAAATTCCCCGAGAACCTGACCTTTATCACCGGCATCCGCGACCGCAACCAGCTCGAGATCTTTGTACTGGAGCACGTGGTCAACTCTTCTCCTGCTACCGCCTCCACTGTTAATGGTCCTCTCCGTCGGAGCCGTCTACCAACGCGCACCGACAAAGTCCGCCAGTCAGCCTCGGATGACGAAAGTTCCGGCAGCCCGTCGAGCACGCACCGCAGTTCCACTAACGGCACCCGCACGTCCCTTTTAGCCCGTAACCTTCCCCGACCGCATACGCTTCCTTTCGTGAAGGCAGCTCACAAGGCTGCTAAAGACGTTGAGCCGCATGAAATTTCGTGCGATGAACTATTTGCCGGCAACATTATGGCCGTCTTAGACCTCGCACGGAAGACCAACGCCTTACCAGTACTCTTTGAATTCCTGGAATACCACGTTTACTTGTCTCGTAAACGCTGTATGTATGACGACGAAGCTGTTGTTGCGTTTGATTGTGAATTCCGTGAAGAAGCCGAGATTGAGAAGTTTGACCTTTCTGACACCTCGCGTCGCGACTGCACGGTTGATGGGTATTTTTCGGCGGATTCCCGCCGTACCTCGGGTTCTCAAGTTTTGCAGACTAAGGTAAATTTGGTTCAGGCCAAGCATTTAAGCACCCGGGAACCTCCCTTTCCGAACTACTGCTGCTTTAATTTCAACGAACACAGACCTTGCCGGGACGTCCCTTGTCGGTATCCACACATCTGCGAATTCTGCCGGAAAGACCATCGCGCCACCGCCTGCACCGAACAACCGGCTTCCAGCGCAAAGTGACCTCGATTCCGTATGACCTCTGTCTTCTACGTAGTTCCTGGATGGGTTATTCTGCTTACTTTTTGCCGCATACTGCCTTTGAGTTTTCCTTTGACACGGATTCATCGCGTCCGTTCAATTGTTTTAGGCAAAGGTTCATCATTTATCCGTCAACGCGCACCCCATCATGACCGACTTGCATGCATTACTCTTTCCCGGATCTGCTGCCTGAGTGTGTCTCCTTTCCTTATTGTGCACATCTTCTACATGCATCCTCACACGAAAGTCGAGCTTACGCCAAAATTTCGACTTGGCGCATACCAGATAGGTAGTCTACGGCATAGCATGCGACATACTATGCGGTTGACTATGCCGCAGCCTATTTGTTTCTGTAATTCCCATTGGCTTGCAGACGAGCGGGCTGCCCTGTACAGCCCACTTGAACATTTGTATGTACAGTCTGGTACACTGACATACAGTCCCGTAGCAACCAGTGCTATAATTCTAACGTCTGCACGTGCAGTCTGCTTTTAAATGACGAACTTTAAATTTTCAAACAGAAAAACCACACAAAGTGGTTTCTGACGTTATACTTGCTAGCTGTCGTTTCGTAACGTTATGGAATTGGAATTTGTGCGGTTTATTATGATTATTCGGGAATTCCTGTCATGATCAGTTCGTCTTTAATAACGTTAAATTTTATTCGACAAGCCTCTTCAGCAAAACGGGACCGCGCTTGTGGAAAAGCAGCAACCTCCTGTGATAATACCTGAAAACTTCGACGATCACGAAAGCCCGTTTTTCGAAACCATGCTTCAATCAATTTTTAGGTAAATTTTTTTTCAGTAATCGTTCCGTTATCCTGCGGGAATTCCTGTCATACGATTGTAATCTGGCTTATGATCAGAGCAATGGCTGATCATCGCTAAAACCCTATAAGTGCATTTTCAATAACAGTAATGTCTCGGTGAAAAATTACTTGTGCGCAGCCCACACATGAATTCCGTTCTCCAGCAGTTGTATTTTATTTTACTTGCAGGGATTCCCATCATTACATAATTTACATTTCTAATCAAATCTGGGAAGTTCTCTTCATAAATCTCTGAACAGTGAGTCCAGTTTGCTTGCACAGTTAGTAAATTCAAAAGAGACAGAAGTTGGTGTTCTTAAACAATTTTGTTCTACGTCAGAAATAATATTTCCAGTATTTTGAATGTCCTCTGCGTTTGCCTTGTAGGTTGCTCTGTGGCTGGAATTCCTGTTTGGAACCACTTTGGATTTTTATTGAAGCACCGTAGTCCCCATTCAGTTTGATGTTCTACTTATGATACTGGTTTCCAGATTTCTCTGAACACCTTCATGGCAGCTGGTTACTGTTTTTTGTTTTGTTAGAATTTTATCCTCTGAATTGGCTTAGTTTAGTGTAAATTAAGCCGAAAACGAATGCAGTCTGCCGTGGAAATCGTCCCAACGTTAGCAGCAGAAATATATACCACCCAGGATGTATAAGTGCCTGTCCACCGCAATCATGGCAAATCTCTTTCGCCATTCTGGCAAATTCGGCAGAAATTCCCTGCTGTTGGTCGCCGTGCCGTTAGTCATATACTGCGAATGCTCCTTCCCTTGGTTCCGTCAGTTTTTGGAGGAGAAGCCGTTCCTAGTCGATGACAAGGTTGAAGGGGAAGCGTTCCGGTAAGGAGACTACCTCTCGCCCAAGATGCCTTAGGCGCGCCAAGCATATTTCCGGCAGAACCAGAGTGTTGACTGCTCACTTAGTTTTTAGTTACTAAACTGGAGTAATTTACAATATCGTGCGAATTTGCAATATCGTTCGAATTTTTCATTACAACTTGACTTGCTGAAAGTAGAGGCAGCTGGAGCAAGGGATGGGCTGATATCCAGAACCGTCACTCTATCATCGTATTACATGCAGATGCAATTATCATCAATCAGCCGTGCATTTTTCTCGCAGCCACAGTTGACCGGTTGTAGTCAGTGATTAAATTTTGGTAGTTGCTGTTAACGCAGTCGTCCGGGTAAAAATTGATATTAATTGAGTGATTCTGCGATTTAAAAGGCTTAAAAAAATGGGCAGCCAAAACTTGAGGCGGTTTCTTCTGGACCAGCAAACTATTTTCCAAACTATCTAACCGGCTTCTTTCCAGAAACCCAAAACAGCTGACTGGTGAATGTCATTTCAGAATATGGTTCTTAGATTTTCCAATGTACAACGTAATAACGCCGGCCAAAAGTGTGCGGCATGATACAAAATATATTTAGTACGAATAAGCCAAAATGCGAGCGGCAGAAGGCTGTCGGCTGGCTGACATTGGAAGTGTAACCAAACGATCATCAGATCAGGCAGACAAAAGTGTGCCACCACCAGAACTTGAGCCAGAAAAGCATATGAACAGGGAAGCAGCCATCCGTGTGCGGGTGGATGAGGAGGCCGCTTCTCTTCAAAACGGAAAACGATCGCAGTTACAACTGCACTTTTTTTAACCGGTAATTCTGGATTATTAACTTTCAACAGCTTTAGGCGGAATTCTTCGCTTGCGACAACCTCAAAAACCACCGGTATGTTTTGTACAGCGAATGGTAAATCCAGACTTGAGATTCTTTTAACCGGCAACGTATAGCGTGGGGAAATGACTCTTGCACTCGTTGGTTCAGCCGTGGCATTCCCCATTATAGCCAGTTCTGTGCTTCAGTTACTGTGACGGGCCTTGCGCCAGCTTGACTTGCTGGGAATTTTTGGTAGACGGCCGAGGTCTAAGCGCAGTTTGAAAAGATCACCGCGTCAAAATATAGATTCCAGGATTGTGCACTTTACGCACAGTAAACGTTGCATCAGAATCGACTGAATTTGAATATTATCCGATTTTTCGGCAAATACAACATGGATTCCCATTGGATATATAGTTTATATACTGTGTTGTGCTCTGTACTGGGTGCGTTCACCGCGTTGCATGTTTTAGACAAAATCGCCGCTTACAAGCTATCTACCATTAACAACTTATTTGGTTCATTTTTTGCGCTCAGTTTTGCTGTTGAAATGTATTGCGCTTGAACTAATTTCTCATGGCGATGGGGTTAACCGTTAGATCACTTCAGTTTATGTAACATTTCATCGTGATTTCGTAGTATTTTGGCCGATTCCCGCCCGTTGCCAAACCTCCCGTCCCTGTCTGCCGGTAAACCGCCTGATTAGTCCCTCATCCTGCCTCCATCGCATCTCCGACGCCCTATTCGATGACAACCAGTTCTTCTTCGGAAAAAGCCTGGACGCCGTCTGCAACAATACGGCACAGAATAATCCGGACGATGTCAACTGTTTTGTCGGCGATGAGAATACTCGCAAGTACACCATTGCATCCCGGTTATTCCCGGAAGGAATCGACGCCGGCGCAATTGATCGATTGCTGACCGTCACGTACGAAACCAGCGCAGGTGAGCCACAAGACAAGTGCAAACTTGCAGCGTACCTGTATCAGATTAAGGTCCTGGCAACCCATTTTTTATTTTCTCTAGCCAGTCTTTTGCAATGTTGTGGTAATAAACAAAACCGCTGTAGGAACGTACAACGCCTGCGGTGGAACGTACACGGCGAAAGCGCGCACCACCGACGTGAACCCGGATATGGCTTCCACCGAGCCAGTTTATTTGCGGATTAAGCCCGCTTTTGAATTGAGGACAGATCCCAACACGTACTACACGATAATTGTTGTGGATGCCACATACGGTTTCGTTCATGGACTTTTCATCGACTATCCCGAAATCAAGGTAAACTGGATATTACTTGGTTCTACTGTCACTGTAATACCCAGAACCTACTGTAATGCTGTACCGGTCAAACGTAAAATTAAATGAACATAAATCATAAAAAACCTACGTATATGTACTACAGTGAAACTTGTTTTCACTGCCGATCTAGGACATAATTGCATACCGCCCACCGTATACCTTTCGCAACATTACCAACACTTTCATGTTCTTCGTCTACAAGCAAACGGAAAAGGACTACATGTTGGAGCCGATGGTGCTGATGTCGTTGAAGAACCAAGGCGTCGGCAAGCTCCTTACACTCGACAAATTTGCCGCTGACCACGCCCTAACCGGTACCAGCATGAGTATTCTCCGCTTTACATTACACCGGAACGTGATCATTGATCATACAAAACAAAAATGGAATAATTAATATACCGGTAGTTGTACCATACAATACAACACAATTTGTTAATACATAATCCAGAAAGCCGTCTAAAGTACTCGTACAGTTAACGATGTGATACACGTGCATAAAGTTACCGACAACTTTGCCATGCATGTAGCGGTTATTTATTGCTGCATGGATGTAGGACCGATTGCTGTCAACTGGATGCAAGTGAAGCGCGACTCGTGGTCGGTGCAACATGTTGCCACCAGTGAAGAAAAACCAGGCGGCGCGGATTACTGCATTACCCTCATCGCTGACGGTAAAGCAAAAATTCTTGTGCTGCTAGCTTTTTGCAACATATTCGAACAGGACAACCAGCACCAGTGTTTCCTTTGATAGCTTTCCGGCTTTTAAATCTGCCATTTGGTTCCAAAGATTTCGCAACGATCGACACTGTCCTAAAAGTGACCTTTACCAGTAGCCCCTTCACTGTGGCGACCTGCTGTCAAAACGCTTCTTCCGGGTAAACCCGCTTATGCATGTGCGGCTGGTAGCGATTTGTATGACTACTTACTTCATGCTGTACTACCCTAGTTCTTCCGCTGTCTCACTACCTGGATTACTTCTGCGTTACTGTGTACATTTGTTAAATTTTATAGACTTTCAGCTTCAGATATCAGCCCGCTGGCTGACCAGGTCTTCAACGCCTCCACATTCCGCAATCGACCTTTTATCACGCTAGAAAAGACGGTAGTCCGCTGGAAAAATGACGGTAACATAAGATAGGTAAAAGAAGCTGCACTGCTTATTAGATCTGCTGTATTCGTACTGAAAACCTTACAGAGCGAAAATACACCCTGCTGTTGGCCGACCCTGCATTCCCTGACGCTACCCTGGCCACGCCCTCGCGTCCTTTCATCAACTGGCTTTACACCAACTTTGACGAGATGTCCACCGTGGATCTGGCCAACGTCAAACTGTCTTACGTGGAACCCTTTTCATTGCCGCAGTCTGCTCGCCGTCTCTACTTCCTCCTGTATGAGCAGACCCTCTCGAGTGACGTTGAAACAACAGACTTCGGAAATAAATCGGATGCCTGCCCGTTGAAGTACACCGGCCGCTGTCGTTTCGATGTGGAGGCATTTGTGAAGGCAAACCAGTTGGTGTTACGGGCGGCGACCTGGTTGACGGTGCAGAGTGATCTATACAGTCTGTGCGCCATGAACCAGACGGCCGTCTGCGTCGCGCTGCAGACGATACCCAAGTTGTCGACCACTCCCACTACAAAGAAGATCCGGGAAGTCACCTCAGCACCTCCCGCGAATGCTGCAACGACCATCGCTGTCCGTTGCATACGCGGCAATCTTACATTTTCCGATACGGATTTCGATCGGTCGGAGGCTTTGCGCGTAGAACTCCGCTGTGATAACACCCTGAAATGTCGCCGCATACTTGGCCAGGCGCACGAGTGGATTCTGCATCATCCCTTTCAAACGCTTGCGGAGACTTCAGCGGATGTGGTTAACGTGGTGTGTGACGCGCGGAACGGCTTAACTGTCTCGACTTCTGATCCGGAAGAGAGTGAAGCTTTGATCTTAGTGTTTATTACTGCTGGTAGTTTGTCCTGTCGGTTAATTTTTGTTGATTTCCTCAAAAACCTAGCGACTCTGGGCTGAAGTGAAGAAAATTAGAAGCGAAACTGATAAAGTTTAGATAATCAATGAAGATTGTGCAGATTATAACCCTAAGAACTTGTATATGATCAAATGTAAAGGTAAAGAATCTGATTTATACCGAAGCTATCCATGAAACATAACAACTGGTCAAAACTACGGAGACTGTAATACAGTATAATGGAATACCTTAGTGATGAATGACACTGTAGTTACCGGTCAGTTGCTTGTCACAATCATACGCAGCCTAGGAAGCGGACGATTAGCGCACGGGTTGCCTGGAGCCGGATTGCGCAGGCCCAGTAGGTTGATGTTATTACCGCAAGGATTGGGTGGGTAAATGAAAGGTTAAACCCTGCAATGCATTTTTGTAGCAGTTGTGTATCCCAATTGTGTTATACCACCACAACACCGTAATTTAATTATTATTATTATTATTACGGCACAAGAGCAGACAACCCCAAGGGGACTTTAAGTCTGGGAACATTAATATAATTAATTACCCGAAAAACCGTAACCGAAAAACTCCAGTTTTACGATGAAGGGGCCAAATGCGGCATACTAGCCACCGACTTCTGCATCAACTTCGATTAAAGCCGGACGTAGTTGGTCAACAAGTCCGGCATGGACGGTAACAAGTAGGATGGCGACGAGGACGATTACTTTCCACATGGCAGAAGGATACAGAATCACAGATGATTAGTGTTTGGTGTAAGGCGAAGCGCAAACTTTAGTTCAGGGTAACTGTCTAACCGAAAAACGGCACCAGCGCGAGGTTTTATCGCAGAAGTTATTCCGTTTGGGAAAAAGCCGTAGTTCTTCTAAATGATGCTGTTCGCGTTGCACATGTCAAAACAATGTACATTAGCGGGGAAACCGAGCCGCCAGTTATGCTGCCTCGCTTAACAAAATCAACATGAAAAAACATCAAAATATCATCGGCCGGTATCGCTCCAGGCTTTTTAGTTTTTATCACTCGAAAAATGGTTTATTTCGTGCCGTGTATGAGGGACATAGTGCCACTTTGTCCATTTGGACGAATCAATACGCAGCTTCCGTATCGTAACATGAGCTGGACGGTTGAAAAATCTGTAGTAAAAACTGTAGTCTGGGCTTGGCAGCTGTTGCTGGGCATTGGATAATCGGATTTGAGCAAAAACTTTCAAATGCGACTGAGCTTTTCCCTGTGGTTGTGAGGCTTGTGACAGTAACCCGACTTTCTTAATTTGTTGGTTTCTGCATTAGGAGTGATTGCTGGTTGAAAAGTGGCCAAAGCTCCGGAAATGGTTTGAACTGTATGCACTGGCATGTGACTAGACGGTCTAATTTTGTGCCAGTGTGCTTATAGCAGAAAGCAATAATTTATTCTCACTTTACGATCTGTGCAGAGTACGGCAATACAGTATCAAACGACTTAACCAGCGTTGTTGCAGTTTATCGTAAAGGTCATAGACGTAGCCGTATTAATACGGGTCTGCGAAGCGCACGTTAAAAAGCTTGGTCTATTGAGTAATTTGAGCGTCTGGAGCAACGTCCCCATCCAGCCAAATCGACATAGCGTTAATAACTTCCCATGGGTGACTGCATTTGGACGCCACGTCCAAGAGGTCGATGTCCTTTTCCGACAGATTGACGGTTAACCATTCTACATTAGCCTTGGTATCGTAAAACTCTATGGTAAGCGCATGTGCTTTCGTAGAGTGGCTGCCGCCACAAATATAAATTCGATCCTTAATAACGCAAGCAGCATGGCGATATCGCGGCTGCTGTAATGAGGCTATCGCTTCCCATGTGCCCCTTTCCACGTCCACACGAATGCAGTCAGCTGATGCACTGGAAACCGCTGCATCCATAAGTCCGCCCATAATGTAAACGTACCCATTGACCACAGCCATTGCAAAGTCCGTTCGCCGATTTGGCAACTTTTGTAAGGATTGCCATTCGTCTCTAACCGTATCGTATCGGTGCAAGCTGGACGGTGTGGCACAAAATATCCGCTCACCACAAATCGCCACTGCTGAGAGGGAAAAGTCAGCGCTATAATGGAAAAGTCATTTGGAGAATACGGTAATCAGCTACGGTAATAGCGTCCCAGGAAAGACTAACTTGTAAGCAAGTTTTACCCGTTGCCGTATACGTCGGTTTTTCTCATATTTCGGTCACTTCAAGTATACTTTTTCCATATTCGTTACCCTGGTGTTAAAATTTTCTGACAAACAAAAATACTAGAAACGAATAGTTTTGATCGTATAAATTTCACTCATGAATTCCGAAGTATGAACTTGAAAAAACTTTCATATAAAGAACTAAACGAAGAACACAAATTTGGACCGGGTGCAATGTAAAAGAACCCCTCCTCACGTTTACAAATTTCTGATTCTAACCTTTTCAACTTTGTTTTGGTGACTTCAGACCAGTGAAAAAGAAAGCAAAAAGCACGTTGTGCGAGCAGCAGTTATTCGTGTAGCGCGCCACGTGGAGGTCTATCTGACGTCACTGACCGGTGACCAAAATAAGAATTCGGATGCTCAAAGTGAACGAAATATGAGAAAAACCGAAGTACCTTATTTCCGCATTCGAGCTGTTCCTAGATACAATCCCTCCAGTGTAAGTATCCATTACAGTGAAATGGCCGTTGTGGTCCCAGAAATAACATTTGCCGTTCACCACCATCAAGCGTTGGTCAAGACGTACGTCCTCGGGAGGCGTTATTTCACGCCACGTTCCTTCGCCTACATTCCAAAGACGCAACTTCACAATGCGGCCGTTTGGATGGCGTAGCCGTTGAAAGAATACGATTTCTTTTTCTGCAGTTTGCCGCCTAGACACTACAGCGAAGCCAACGAATCTTGATCGTATAGGGACCCTTTTTAGTGTGTATAAAGAATGAGTTGCAGGATCGAATAAAATCAATTGAGAACCATAAGGAAAAAAGAAAAACGCTATCAAGTGTTTTATGCGCAGCTCCTTCAGTACTTGCTTTAAGGCTATTCTGTTAGAAGCAATCGGCTGCAAACACTTTTGGATAAGATCGGATAAATATAGCGCATTGTCGTTGCTGACAAACGGCACGTAACCATCGATTATCTTTACAACATATTGGGCATCCGTAAGAAAATCCCATACAATAATCCCATCTTTGACGAGTCGTGTTTGAGGCCACTTAATATTGTAGTTATCTTTTTGCAAGCAACTTAATACTTGATTCATCTCCAGAATTATGCATCCAAAACTCCAAAGATCGGTCATTGGTCCAGGTGTCTCTGTTGCTTGCTGGGCAAATTTTTTCAGCATTTCCGGGGACATATAGCGCGGCGTGCCGCGTAACTGCGTAATGTCAGCAGAACAGGTTGCGCTTTCCCGCATTTGAATTATGTCATCTAGATCACTGATCAACAGTGTTTTGCGACCATCTTCCGCGACATCGACTAGGATATTTTCGGGTTTCAGGTCCCCATGAATTATTCCATTCTGATGCAGGAAGTCCAGTCCTCGAGCTATGCATGCCACGTACTGGGCCAACTTTTTATAACTATTTAACAGATTTTTGTTTTGTTGGGCTTCGCTCAGGAACAACCTTAGATCCCCTGAAAGGCTAACCTGAATAAATATTCAGTTCTGACAGATAAGGAATTCCTAACCTGCAATAGCAAAGCGTAAAAGTTACCTTCGTGATAATTCATTGCGAGTTCGACGGTGGCTCCGATCGAAGCTTTAATGATGGACACTTTATGATAAGCAACGAGATTCTCGTGGGTGAGTTCGGTGATTTTCTTCAGCCTTTGAGCGACTTTCAGCAAGCTTTCAGGATCAGAATTTTCACGAGGAATACAGATTTGCATAACTTTCACCGCTACCAAATTTCCTCCAAGATAATCGCCACGTTTTACAACTCTGGCTTTGTAAACAGCGCCATACGATCCCTTTCCAATTAAATCTGCATGGGAATAGCGGTACTGCATAGTGCAGCCAAAATGTTGCACTGTATCAGCCGTGTTTGATGCATTGATCCCCATCTCGCAATTCAATGATAAAATGGAAACCACAGTTAAAATTCAAATCACAAAGCCAGTCCCACCAGCATCTCCGTGGGTTTTCCATTAAATGTTTAGCTGCCGATTGTTCTTTTCCTTGTATTGCATGTTCTCAATTGTATGTGCATACGATAAATTCTGCAATCGTGCGAATGGTAGTAAGGTACTTAACTAGTTAGTAATCAAACAATATTATCGCCTGGGCATGCAGAAGATAAACGTTGCCGTACCACCGTACACGGTGATTTCTAAAGGTGGCATTGATTTAGTGAACAACATCAGAACCGGCACAACAACTGCAAACTAGTGCAAAGTGCAATATGAAGCCGCAGTGGTTAATTCAACAAACGTATGCATGTACACATTTGCGCAAACAAAACGGCTGAACAAAATGTCGTCTAATTTACCATGGTACGCTGGATGCGTCCAATCACTAATTGTCGTCGTCTTAGTTTCATTCGAAAGATCACTGATTTTAACATGGAATTGTGAAGTCAAACCAAGAGTATCTCAAAAAAGAATTTTTTTATTAATTATTTTGATATATTGGGTATATTTCTAGGGTGTCCTGGAAGCGGAAATTTGAAACTGCCCATTCCGAAATTAAAACTTTCTGCTTTTCAGCTAAGTAGATTTATCTCAAGTTAGTGTTTTGGGTAGAGGAGTTGTTTCTGGATTTTCTACACTAAGGAACAGTAATATTATATAAAATGGGTTTGGCCAGCACATGGAATAACGAAAACTTTGCACGAGTAATTCTCGTGAAATCCACATGCAGGGTTTTGGAAAGCAAATCTCTGACCAACGCTTTAAAAGCTGATCTGTGTCAATCTTGCTCTTGCAAGGGTGATGTGCTAGCTACACCAAAATGTTAAACTCGCTTTTTTCATTGCAACCTGTTATGCAGCCAAAAATTTTAACAAAAAATACCCATAAAAATCGAATACAAAACCGGCATTTTTTGGAAAAGTCACAAAGTGCGCAGAGTGAAGCGTCCATGCGTGAAAGAAATGCCACGAGGTAACATGTTTTGAAACCTTGGACACGAAAACTTCTCACACGAGTTTAACTAGCAGCGTTGCAACGAGCGCAGCTAATTTTTCAAAAATGTTTTGCTGATTTTGGGAGTAAACAAAATTTTCTATCGAACGAACGAGTCTAAATAGTTAACGGTGAGGCAACCGGCTCGCGAGAAACAAACCAAAATGGCTGACCGACATTTTTTTCAGCCACCCGGGTACGTAGATCAGGCAAAGTCAATCCCACACTGACACTGATTTTGCCAACAAAAAAAATGAATTAGCTTAACAGCAGCTTTGAGTTCGCTAAGTGGACGTGGCAGTAATGACTTTTTATTCGGATATGTCCCGTTATTTTCCGTTGACCTTGCTCTAAGGCATCCAATACCACATGGTCCATCACCCAACCAATTTTCTCATAGATAGTTAAAAAACTGTAACAACACTTCTACGGTTGCAGTGACGAGTTAATCATACAGACAGCGACGAAACACGGTGATTTTATATTTTTGCGACATTCCGCACCCTACTCCGGTTTGATACGGTGGCCAACAACTGGGAATTTCTGCCGGATTTGCGAGAATTGCGTAAAAGGATTGCCATGAATGCGGTGAACGGCTACTTATATATTTTGGGCGGGAAGGTATATATTTCAGCTACTAAAGTTGGAACGATTTCCACGGCAGATTGCGTTCGTCTGAATCTACAAACAGAAACTGCTGCATGGGAGAAAATGGAGCCGCTTCAACAGCCGCGGGGTTACCATGTAGCGTGTTTTGCCGAGAACAGAATATACGTATGCGGTGGCATAGACGTTGTGGAAAGACACGCTTTAACAGTAGAATTTTACACTGTTAAACGAAAAACAGGGTGGACCGTGGCGGTGTCGGAAAAAGATGCTCAGATGCTGTCAGACTACGCGGGAAAAATTGATGGAATGTTACTAACCGCCGTTTCTGTGAATCTGGATAGCGGCATTTTTCCATGAGTTTCTACAGGGCGCCGACTCAGTGCAAAATATTTCGAAACCGCCTTACCAAAGACAGAATCGTGATAAGCTTATTACATACGGGAAATTGTGACTTATTTATCCAAGTTTTTATTTTGTTAAGGCTTGATTGTGCAGTTGCCACAAGTGGCACGCGTAAATTGTCCACTGAAAACTAGCGACGTATTCAGTGAACTTATACTGGATGTTAGCGGTGGACTGCATTGCGTAACTAACTTCTCATGATACTTCAGCAAAAGATTGTATCACGGCGATAGCTTATTGCGATAGCGCAACATGCTGCTGCAAGTACATGACATTATTGTAAGCATTTTAATACTGCCGGTGGAACTGCAAATCTTCTTATGACACTTTTACACCCTTGTTGGTATGCAAAGCTGGTAACGTTTAGCTGTACACTGTAAATATCAAGCCTAATGTTATTTTATTGCATTGCAGTGCTTATTTTGTGTCGTCTTTGATCGAATCAATGCGCATTTAATTAGTAAGCAATGATAGGCCTGGTCTCGTTCGGTTTATTAGCTGCCGGATTGTTCAAATTATCTTCATGTGAGTATATAAAAATTAAAACCCAAGGCAAAATTAAGGGACATATTTGGCTACCTTGCTCTCATTATGTAGTACTTCGTAAATGGAAAACTATACTGTTGTAAGAGGAGAATCCTCTGTACCCACAGCAACCGCCCATCCGCCTACCTGGTTGGCTCAAGCTTAAGCACAAATATCTTGATCTGCGCCAACAGCGGCGATGGTACAGTGGCTGTGCTACGTGGATCTCACTGGGTAGCCAGCGGTTCGAATCCGCTCCATCGCCATTTTTCGAAATTTCCTCAACAGACAGGACTTCAACTGACCGCCCTCCCTCGCTGAGATCACCACGGACAGCCGACTTATGGCTGCCTCTGTGATACTGTGCAGTGTGCAGTGAATAACGAGTACTTGTATATGCTTAAGGATCTGTTCCAGTGATCGTGCACAATGTTCCAGCACTTTTACCTGTACATGTTTTATCGTTAATCGGTAGGTTTAGAAACTGGCCGGGACAGCCACTCAGTTCCCCCAGAATGCGCCGTGCGAAACGACACATTACCAGCCGTCGACTTCCCTCTTCGCACTGACAAGTTAACCGTCGAAGAATGTCTGAGATACGTGAAAATGCAACGACCAGATAGTTCCTACACAAGCCCCACGCGGCAAACATGTTCCCCTTTTCAGTTGGATGGGAACTGTAATGAAACCGGCGATCCTTCGAACTTCAGTGTCTTTCAGAAGACTTACCTAAGTATCGGATGCGGATGGGAAAAACCCGATATTCTGACCGAAATTCATCGAAATGTCAGTATAATCAGTCCTAATCGGGCTGTCACTGCCATGCTCAGATGCCGCTCTGCATATACCAGCGACGTGCTGCATTACGACGTTGTGCACCCGATTCGCAATCAAACCATCGAGCTGTGGATTGCGGAATGTGTGAGCCACAACGTAACGGCGATGGTGTATGACATGGGCGTTTTCCCTTATTTGCTGCGTCTGGACATCACCATATTCGCAAGCACTAATGGCGGTATCAGCATCCGCCAACGCGACTTTTCACGCATGCCACAACTCCGAATGATTTATTTCAGAAACATCATTATCGAGGCCATGGAGCCGTACACGTTCACGGATCTAGCACACCTGCAGATCTTGGCACTGGAAGCTCGATATCTTTCTTACAATCTCGGGGCCTCAGATTCACTGGATGACCTCCTGATGGCACGTCGACTGTATTGCGACAGCGCTTTTGCGTGGTTTCGTCATTTTCTCAAGGAGAAGCCATTCCTCATCGGTGACAAGGCAGAAGGGGAGGCATTCCGGTTAGGAGACTACTTCTCGCCCAAGCTGCCTTTTACGCCCCGGAAATACTTTCGGCAGAACCAGAATGTCAGCTGTTCTTTGATTTATGATATTCCCAGCTAAATCGCAAAACTATTATTTGGTGCCGAATGTTTTCATAACAACAGAAGCTCTGAAAACAGAAGCAGTTAGAGCAAACGAGTGCTGCAGTCCTGATAGAGTAGTCCCCGTCGTTCAGTCGCGTGCCACAATTATACTATGGCTACAGTACCGAGTCCGACTACCGGCCTAGCTTAATTACGCGTTTGAAAGCAGAAAAATCTGGTCTAGGTAATAATGGAAGAAATAACAATGCACGTTTAATTACATCCTAAGAAACCCAGCTGACTACCGATAGGTCTACAGGGTGCCAACAGCCTGTATACGGATGTCTACTTTGACTACAAGAAGAGAAAAAACAATTCACTTTTTTTGCATGTCACAGGTGATCAGCGCTACGTCTGAAATAGGCAAGCAGATAACTTTGCTGTACGCAGTTTATGCTTCCACGAGCAAATAGTAATTGTTATGTTCTACGCACTGCCTTTTTTGACTACCAACGATAATCACGACACCGATGACTGTGCAGCGCAAAAGTAACGGATTGTTCCTACACGCCATGCGCTAACAGCAAAGGCTGGCTCGGAATTTACTTCCTTTGGGCAGTTATGCCGAACATGGCCGGAAACGGCCCAAGCCATCCCAAAGACAACAAAAACCGAAAACGTTTTACGCAGCAAGTGGCACATGTTAGCGTTCTACCATTAATTCCCAATTTGTACCAGTTCACCAACATAACCGTAACAGAGAGATCGCTAGGGAAGGGGGCGTGTCGTGTGTCGCAATACGCGGATTCCTGCGTCCCTCTGAATCCAATCCATTTAACACCAAAGAAATTCAACTGGCATTAGTTATTTTGACATCTGTTTATTTTTAAACTCTTGACATATATCCGCTTACAAAGCATACAGTAACTTACTAAGTAAGGTTTACTTCAGCTTTTCAGCTGTTTAAAGGTAAAGTATCATCATCCAGGTTTACAGAAAGGGCTGTTATCCTTTGCCATGACTCATTCCTTTCAGTCGCCCAGTTCGATAATACATTCGCATCGTTTGGGGACAGTGTGACTGTTGACCATTCCGCGTCACATACACGTTTGGTATCGTACATCTCTAGATCAAGGGCGTGCTCTTTTTCAGTATACCGGCCACCGCACACGTATATCCGATCCAGGATAACGCAGGCGGCATGATTTAGTCTCGGCTGCCGAAGCGGTTTGATCTTTTCCCAGGCACCGGTATCCAAATTCAAACGAACGCAGGCAGTTGTGGCAAAATGATCAGATCTTTCTTGAACCCTTCCGCCGATAATATATACGCATCTGTCGACCACAGCCATTGCAAAATCCAGACAAGGGTGCGGCATATTTGACTGGAATTTCCATTCTTTAGTCACAGTGTCATACTGGTACAGGCTGCGTATCGTGGCATAAAATATCTGCTGACCGCTCCTTGCTACTGCTTGTGCAGGTAGAAGAAAGCTAGAAAAAGGTACATTTGGGTTTTCAGCAGAGGCAACTGATTCTCTATACGGAACACCCGTCAGATAAGTAGAGATGTCTATTTCTCTAAATATTTCGTCTCGGTCCCAAAAATAAACCTTGTCGTCTACCGCCACCAGACTGGTTGCTGGGTGCATATTCAAGGAATTAATTGGCTCATATTGACACCATGTCTCTTCGTTTACATTCCATAAATGGAATTTAGCCTTTGGTACTCCGGATCGGTTTTCACGCATCTGTTCTTTGAATAAAATTTTTGTTCCGTTTACCGATAATTGGCGGTAGTCGAAGCACGGCAGCCCGGAAAACTCCGGCGCATGGGGCACTTGTTGAACATGTACGGAGTCTGCTAATGGGTCGTATATTAAAAAACTTCGGAATTCAAAACCGCGGCATGCAAGAAAAACGATGACGTTACTCTGGAGTTTGCGTAACAATTCCTTAACCGATAATCGGCTTGCTGTGTTTATACGCAAACACTGTCGGATGATACTTGAGAAGAGTTCTCCAAATTCGCCACTCACAAATGGAACGTAACCGTCAATGATCTGGACGGCATACCCGGTTAGTTCTACTCCAGCATTGACAATTTTCCCATTCTTTATGAGTCGCCTTGTAGTTACACGTTTCCAAGTTTCGGCCATGTCCAGAATTATACAACCTAAACTCCACGTATCAGTTTTCCTTCCTGGTGGCTCTGTTCCTGATTGGGAAAACTTTCTCAGCATTTCGGGTGACATGTAGCGCGTTGTGCCACGTAAGTGGGTGAAGTCTGCTGAGCACGTGGCGCTTTCCTCCATTTGCACCAAATCATCTAGATCACCAATCACCAGCCATTCGGTGCCGCTATGTAAAATGTGCAAAAGTATATTTGCCGGTTTTAAATCGCCGTGTATGAAGCCATTTCGATGCAAGAATTCCACTCCTCGGGCTATTTCCTTGGCGAACCGAATCACTTTCCCCCAGTTATTCAAGAGCTTTTCATCCTTCTTAGCTTCCTTTAAAAAGGAAGCAAGATCACCTGGAAAATCATGCTTCTGTCACTGAAAGCAACGTGGAAGTATCTGTAACTAAACTTTGTTACTAAGCGACCGCGGCGTACAAGCAAGTGGTAATCCGTACCTCCTTCATGATAATCCATTGCCAACTCAACAATCACCCCACCAGCTGCTTTAGTTATGGAAACTTTGTGATAAGCCACGAGATGTTCGTGTGTTAGTTCAGTAAGTTGTCTCAATCTTCTCACGGCTGTCATCCAGCTTCTTTGATCGGCAATAATTACGGAATTTATACCAATTTGCATCACTTTCAGGGCGACAAAATCCGACTCCGTGTAAGTGTCACTGTCAGCGCTGATGATTCTGGCTTTGTAAACTGTGCCAAACGTTCCCCTGCCAATAAAGTCCATGTTTGTGTAGCGGTACATAATATTGCTGCCGATTTCCTCGACTGCGCCGGAATCACTAAAACCGATGTTCGCCATTTCTCTTAACGCAATAAAATAAATCGGATTCATGTCAAGGCTGATCCAAGAATGCTCGAGAAGGCGGTCTATGCTCAAGAATTTCACTGAAGCGCGTTTGGCAGATTGCAGCACTGAAATCCATTCGCGTGGCCGGTGAAAATGTCAAGCTTTGAGAAGGAGTCGTGATGTCCCGGCATAGTTAATTTATTTTCTTCAGTCTAATCTTTTATACGGTAAGCGTACTGTTGATACAGAAATACTGTACATTGTTATCATGTCTTAACGATAGCGCTGTCTGATCATTTATGCGGCATACAATCTGGTCTGCCGTACTATGCGCTGACGACGACATGAGGCAGACAAAATGTTCAATCCTGAAAACGGTCCCACTAACACTGGGGTGCGTTGGTGGCTGTTTGTCCCCAAGGAGGGCCAGCAATGCCGGGCTGTGTTTGCTGTTTACATTTTGAGTAATGTTAGGGTAGCTTCTACCTGCGCAAGCCTCTCTGTTATCTGAATTGGCTGCTGCCCTGAGTGCCGAATAAAAAAACAGATTAAAAAAAATAACTTGCATTGGTTTTCTGGTTCGGTGGTTTTTACTTGACCATCTTCAAATCTACGCAGTATACGCTTGCTCAGTACTTGTGGTAAAAACTAACGCTCTTTAAACAGTAATGCCTGCCGGAGTATCGTCCTGTAGTTTGACAGCACGTGCGGACTTTCCTTTCCAGAGCTGGCCGCTATGAGCTCTATCGGACACGAAGGTCGCCCAATCCGCTATCAGCCTGGTATCGCCTGGTGACAATGTGACGGTCGTCCATCCCACTTCGCACTTGGTATCATAAAATTCTATGGTCAGTGCATTGTTTGTCGCACAATGTATGCCCCCGCAGACGTATATTCGATCCATAATAACGCACGCGGCATGCATGGATCTCGGCTGCTGCAGGGCCCGCGCTGAACCTTGGATTCGGATTCGGAGTTGGATTACTCAAACTTGGACTTGGATCTCTTAACTTGGATTACATTAGTTGGATTACTTGACTTGGATAATGTTAGAGGCACGACAGCCTGCGTGATAGATACGCCACTTTGCGTATGCGTATCACTGCACACATGCTGATTCGCCCTCTCTTGTACGTACGTGAGTGGCTGCACTGCACTCTCCGCCCAGCGGATCACACCGCGGGCGCACTCACTGAGCATACTTGCTCTCTCGCTCCTCTCTCTCGCTGTATGACTCAGCGCATATACGCTCGCGTTGGATACGAGTCCAGTCTGCGCACTCACATTCCATGTGTCTGGACAGCGTGACGCCGTTGCCGCCAGCACATTTCTTTCTCTACATTTCATTACGCTCTAGAACTAGCTCGCAGCAACTTGACTTGCTGATTTCTGCCAGACACTGGCCTTTGTTGTGTTTTTCCCCGCATTCACGCGGTATTTGCTCCACTTTATTTGTACAATAAAGCCACCTGTGAGCTCTCTGTGCTTGCCTGTCACAATAAGTTGGATTACGTAATTTGGATTACTTAACTTGGATTAATAAACTTGGATTACATATTTTTGGGCTTGGATTACGTTTTTTGTACCGTTTTCCCGTGTTTATTGTTTTCCTTTTCTCATGGTATTCTTAGGTTTCTTAGGTTTCTTAGGTTTTTTTACGTTTTCTTAGGTTTCTTAGATTTCCTCTAAGAAACCTAAGAAAACCTAAGAAACCTAAGAATACCATGAGAAAAAGAAAAGAATAAACACGAGAAAACGATGCAAAAAAACGTAATTCATGCCCAAAAAGATGTGGTCCAAGTTTAGCAATTCAAGTTACGTAAACCAAATTAAGTAATCCAGCTTTTGTATTCAAGTTAAGAGGTCCAAGCCCAAGTTTGAGTAATCCGAACCCAAGTTTGATCAATCCAATCCGAATCCAAGTTTGAGTAATCCAACTCCGAATCCAAGGTTCAGCGCGGGCCCTGCTGCAGCGGTTGAATCTCTTCCCAAGAACCAGTACCCACCTTCAGACTAATACAGCTACTTGTGACACCCGATGTACCCCAAAAGTCCCCGCCGGTTATATATACGTCTCCGTTGACTACAGACATTGCAAAACTGTGGCGACTTCTTGGCAGCATTGGCAAGGACTCCCAGTCATCGATCATCGTATCGTACTGGAACACACTTTCGGATGTGCCATAAAATATCTGACTACCATATAGGGCCACTGTTAAGCTAGTCAGAATGCTCCCTAAAAAAGCAAGGTTTCTATCGCAGACCTCCCAAGTCTGGCTTGCATTCACGAAAAAACAAAAACTTAACCACTGTTATACCTGGGCATTTTCTTTGGATTTCGGATGTTATGAGTAGACATGTTGATTTCAGTAAAAGAGCCGGGATCGCCCCAAAAATAAATCTTGTCTTCTAGCGCGATACAGCTTGAATCATAATACATTTTCACGGCAGTATTCACTTCCAGTAAACTCCACGCCCCTTGGTTAACACTCCAGAGATGGAACTTTATTTTTGTTATGCCAGCATCAATTATCCGTTCAGGGACCAAAATGTTAGTTCCGATTACTGAAATCTGTCGATGATACTCAGGCAGCAAACCTGCGCACTCCAGTTCGCAGAACGCGTCTTTAATATGTATGGATTCAGTCAATGGATCAAAAATAAAAAAATTTCGAAATTTATATTCGTCGCACGCAAAAAATACAATGCCGTACTTCGTTTGCATCTTAGACAGTAAATCGTTAGCGGATAATCGAGTTTTCTCTAATTACATCCAGGCACCTTCGGATGGTGTCCGCCAGATGTTCATCAATATCGTCGCTCACAAATGGAGCATAGCCGTCGTGGATTAGGGTGGCGTATTGGTAATTGGTAAGATCACTTCCACCATTTAAAAAGCTTTCCTTTCTTACGAGTCGTCTTTTGGGTGCTAGGCCGAAGCTTTCGGCCATCTGAAGCATTATGCAGCCTATATCCGTTTTTGGTCCTGGCGGTTCTGTTCCTGATAGCGAAAACTTTCTGAGCATTTCTGGTGACATGTGCCGCGCGTTGTTCCGCGTATCTGGGAAATGTCTGCAGAGCACAAGACACTTTCTTGTCTTTGTACCAGATCGTCAAAATCACTTAAGACCAGCTTCTCGCTGCCATTTTTCGAAAGGATTAGCAGCACGTTTTCAGGCTTCAGATTTCCATGTATTATCCCATTCTGATGCAAGAATCTCAGTCCGTGAGTCATATCTTTTGCAAACTGAATTATTTTTCTTTTATTGTTCCAGGACTCCTCCTCTTTCTCTCCTTCCCTTAAAAGCGAAGCAAGATCGCCTAAAAACCGACTTGTTATTAATGAAATTCTTGCGACAAGTAACTCCACAAATGTTACCGCTAATCTGTGTCACCTTTATAATAATTCATCACCAGCTCAACGATCACTCCGCTGTAGAGTTTATTAATTGAAGCCTTGTGGTAAATTATAAGATGCTCGTGCGCCAATTCAGTGAGACGTTTCAGTTTTCTCACAACGGTCATCCAATCTCCCTGATCGGCAGCAGCTCCGGAAGTACTTCCAAGGTACAGTACTTTAACGGCCGCAGCCTGTGGTCCTTTTTGGGAATCAGCGTTCATAATTTTGGCTTTATAAGCAGCGCCAAACGTTCCTCTTCCAATAAAGTCTGCGCTGGTGTAGTGATACTGAATGCTACTGCCAGTCTTTTGAAAGAACACGGTCGGAATATCTTCATCTGCCCGGATGGCGATCAGTATTTCAAGCAAAAGCACTGCGGCAGATATACGAATTGTGGCGCTGCGATTCAAACACTTTCGGATACTTTCCTTTAAATGTTCTTCAATCTCGTCGCTCACGAAGGGCGCATACCCGTCCATGATCAGGGTTGCATACCGGGAACTGGACAGAACATCATATCCAGAATCTACAGTTTTACCGCCGTTCACCAGTCGTTTTTCTTTTATGCGATAATAGCACTCAGCAATTTCCAGAATTATGCAGCCAAGGCTCCAAATGTCCGTTTTCCGTCCTGGGTCATCTGTCTCAATTAGAGCAAATTGTCTCAGCATTTCCGGTGACATGTATCGTGTTGTACCACGTAGCCGAGAAATATCCCAGAGCAAGTTATATTGTTTTGCATTTTCACCAGGTCGTCTAAGTCGCCGATTAGTAGAATCTCGCGGTCCAGTGGTCCAGTCTTCACAAGAATATTTTCAGGCTTTAAATCACTGTGTATCAGACTTTTTTGATGCAGGAATTCAAGTCCTCGGGTCATATGCTCTCCGAATCGCAGAACTTTTTGATAGCTGCGTAGCAAGGTATCAGTTTTCCAGGCTTCCTTCAAAAATACAGCAAGGTCACCTAAAAAATTGCTGCAGATCTGGAGTTTGTTTGAAGCTTCATAATTACTAAAGAAACATCAAAGGGATTTTGTCTTACTCTTATAATAATGCATTGCAAGTTCGACTGTCGCACCGCCAGAGGCTTTGAAGATTGAAATCTTCTGATACAGCACAAGATTTTCGTCTTCAGTTCAGTGAGCATTCTCAACCTGTTCAAGGATTTCGTCCAATTCTCTTTATCAACAACATCTCCTGGGTTAGCATTGACGCGTATCACCTTGACAGCCACATGAGTAATTTTTTCTCGCGTATAAGGATCCTTTACTTGCTTCAAAATTTTAGCTTTGTGAACAGTTCCAAATGCTCCCTGGCCAATGAAATCGGCAGATGAATATTTGTACTGCAAATCGCTGCCCATTATTTCGAGCGCACCGTTATTGCTGGAAACACTGTTTCCCATTTCCGATACAAGGGTTGCACAATTATTAAGCAATGCAGATACTTCTTAAGAATTGGTTCTCACATAAAGACAAAGGTTCCAAAAATACAAATTAAACAATTTATTACTTCTGTAATTCTGCTAGTCGGCGTATAACGTATACAGCCGACGACAGACCCACGAACGCAATCAGAAGTTGAATTCTAGACTTATGAATGGCATCAGTGGCTTCCACTTCTTGATTGCAGTATGTTGATAATTGACCATGTAGTTACGTTTATCAGGTTACGATAACACTACAACTGTCAGTAGTGCAACAACGTTTTGTGACAACCTTCAATAGCGCGATATCAATACCTTATCGTATTGTGCTGTGCGCGCAGGCTTGTTCATGGCTCATTTGTGCGCACGCGTGAACGCATCACTTTGTAGTTGTACTCACTTGTGCACTGCATTGCGGAATTTGCGGGAAATTCCAGTGACGCTGCGGTTTCCTGCTTTAAGCGAGTTCCCATGCATTACTTGGTCACACAGCTTTTAGCGAACTTTAGGGACTTGAGGAGTTGAACAGCGAAGCAGCAACATGAATACTCAATACGTAGCCGCAGTTCAATCCGGATGCCGTAATTTACGCTGTAATTTGTAACAACGAGGTATTTATATAACGGTTGTGCTACTAGCACAACCGTTACAATGACGTCATGAAGACTCTTATGTTAGGTCGGTAACCTGCGCTGCCGGCGTTGCATTTTGATAATTTGCACTGCTGTACCGGTTTGGTCGAGCGAATTAATCAGAAAACTCTTTATATGAGTTTTCCTAAATTTATTTATTACGTGTAACATGTACAGTACTATTGTTTCTAAGCAAGCGAGTCAATGACGACTCTCAACCCTCAGACGGATTCATCGTTCGTGAAATAGCGGCGTTAGATGCCTGAGTGCCTCATACCGCACACCCGCTTTTCTGCTGGACACGTTATCACAGGCTGCGCCCTGTCCCATACCTCTTTAATCTTGGGTGACTCAACAGTTGCGGTTGGAAACTGTTATGTTGTGTGCAAGCTGGTCGAAGGTGTAGCCAGTTGTGCGAATGTTGACTTTGCGCGAAAGATTAACACGAGAGGAACGCATTTTATTTACAGAATACTTCAGTCGTGTTGCTCCAACAGAATTCGCAACCAGCGAAGAAAAAATATAAAAGCATGTTCTGCGATACATTGTAATTATTCATTGCCAGGTCACAGAAACATAGACAGATAAAAACAGGAAAACTGTAAAAAACAAGAAATGCTTTCCTTGTGGTCCTTTACACAGAGACAATTACATGGAAGATCTAAAGCTTAAACCGCAAAATTTTTTGTGCAAAGATTTTTTCGGCGATAGCTGGAAGTAGCAGTATTATCCACACAGAAAAGTTATATAAACCGTACAGCTAACAAAGAAAAAGCCCATTCATTTTCCGCATTACTGGCTAGGTGTTCATCACTATACAAAATTTACAAACTGTTGAATATTATCAAATAGTCGGTTTAGTTTACCTTTACAAACTCCTGAATTACAGGAAGTACATTGCACAATACACAGTAATACTTAACAAATTAATGCACTTTACAATTGAACAAACTACCCAGCACCGAATTTTAAATATTTGTTTCTGCATCAGTCGTCACATCTGCGATGGTTATGAAACACCTGACATGACGCTCCGCTGTTCGTTCAGACGGCAATGGCAGGAATACCACTAAAATTAGCCGAAACCGCGGTTATTATTGCGTGCGCCCCCGTGACCTCAGCCGCCCAGGCCGATACCAGATCACAATCTTGTTGCGGCAAGTTGACAGTCGACCATCCTGTACTGCTTTTAGTACCGTAAAACTCCAACGTTAGAGCGTGGCTTTCTTTAGCATCTTTGCCGCCGCAGACGTATATTCGGTCCATCATAATGCAAGCAGCATGCTGAAATCTCGGCTGAGTGAGTGGCTGTATCTCCTCCCAAATATGCTTACCAATCTTGACGCGAATACATCCCGCTGTTGGAACTAACCGCGAATTTTCCTCCACTTTTCCGCCCAGGATATATATGTACCCGTTAAGCACAGCCATGGCAAAATTCACACGCTTGTAAGGCATAATTGGCAGGGTTCTCCATTCTTGAATCGCCGTATCATACTGGTACACGCTGTTCTGCGTCGCATAAAATATCTGCTCACCGCACTTTGCCTCTGCTTCTGTCGGTATATTGCTATAAAAAACAGTCATCTGTATGTATTATCGAAGGAAAAATTTTATAGGTATAAACCTGTTGCGTTACCTCCCAGGAACTTCTTTCAGTGAGGCAATGCTTCCAGTAGAAATATTCAGTTCCGAAAAAATTCCGGCAGCGTCCCAAAAATAAACCTTGTTTTCTATCGCTACTATTCTTGAGCAATCGTGTAGATTCAAGGCAGGAACTATTTCAAGTTCATCCCATTTTTTTCGTCCACACACCAGAAACGGAATTTTACCTTGCGAACATCGCTGTCAAGAGTCTCCACTACGAAGAAAAGTTTGGTCGCGGTGGCAGTTAACTGGCGATAATTCCGAAACATCAAACATGAGGATTGCGGTTCGCTGAGCACATCTTGAACATGTACAGAGTCATTCATGGGATCGAATATCAAGAAATTACGAAATCCAGAACCGTCACATGCAACAAATACTATGACATCTATTTTGTTCCGTATCTTTTGTTTTAACCTTTCGATGAGTAACATTTGTTCCCTGAGCATTTCAGAGCGCTGTCGGATGTCATCCAATAGGGTGGCAATCATGGTGTGTCTTGTATGAGCCATGTAGTGAGTAGTGAGTACCCACCAACTGCTGCTGATATCAACAAGCAAAAATTTCGCGGACACGGAATAATAGGTTTGCTGATGCACTGCACGTTGACTGTAGAACTGCAGAAAGCGCTGTGAGCTTTTACACCGCTACGTTCAGTTGTTCGCATTATGGGAGCAGTACTCTCGTTAAAAGCAAATTTGCTCATAAATTTATTTTAAGCCACTCTGATAAGATATCGTTTCAGTTGCTATCGTCATATCCGCTTCATGGCTTTCCCAGGAAACTGCTGAAACGGTGTATTTCCTCTTTTCTCGGATATACTGCACTGACATTAGTATTTCAAAGTTCAAACTTTCAAAAATGCTGTTACGTTCATATACGAAGAATTAACGAGCGCACTGTGACGTGCTGTTTATCTGTCTAAACAATTACGACAGCATTTGCATAACAGACATTGATGATTAACATAGCAAGAAATTGAGAAATTAAGATTTAACATAGCAAAATTAAGATTTAACATAGCAAGAGAAAATGTAAAACACGATATTGTAAAGTATAAAGAAAGCCGAGTTTATGGCTTCGACTGCATTTTAGTTATTATTTCGAACATTTGCACTGTATGGATCAATATTTTTAACACTCGGCCGAGTACACAGCCGCTTTAGCCGGTGACTACTTGAACAGGATAGGTAACTAAAATGTCTATGAGTCACGTGGGCTGGAATGCGCCGACTGAAATGCCCGAGTGTCAGACTCGCAGACCAACACGGGCAAAAGTGTTTGGTGAGTGTGAGAAATACTGAGTCGTACTGTGGAACCGTACGAATATCGGTCAAAGCGAAGTATGCTAATAAGGCTTCCCATGGCAACAAAAAAGCGCGTCTAACAATTACAGTGCATGGCCTGATCAAATTACCGGGAATAAACAGGATGCAAATCCGATTTCTTTACAATATGGCTCGAACAGTAAGATGCGGGTGGTGGCGTTGCTATGATTTTAGTACATCAACGAAGTACGCAGACTGGCATGCCGCACGGTAGTAGTTCATGCACCGGACTACAGCACATAGGTGTTCCATACGTCGGCATACCCGACAAAGTCAGCACTTGCTGCGGAACACTCTGTGGTGATTGGGAATGTATCGCCATGCCACACGGCGGAGGGTGTCCTTATTCCGACATACCAGAGACTGCAGTTTCATAAACCGGGGCAACCGAAGGCGGTGGCCAACAAAATGGTCACGCGGACGGTGGCCCCATAAACACGAACAGCTCGCGGGGGTGGTCCAGATCGCGGAACATCCGAAAATTGTGGTGTGTAAACCGGCCGGTTGGTCGGTCTGGACCCTGACGGGGTTGACCCGTACACCAAACTCGACGACGATGGGGGTCCATATCCCGGCAGGCCGGAAGGCGGTGGTCTGTATCCCGGCTGAGCGGACGATGGTGGTCCATAACGAAAAACAGCCGCCGGTTTGGGTCGATAACCCGGCCGGCTTGGCCAGCCGAACGATTGGGGTCTACATCCTGGCCGGCCGTTCAATGATGGCCCATTACCAGAAACAGCCCTTGGTGAGGACCCGTTGACCGGCACGCCAGACGTTGTAGGTCTATAAGAAGGAGCAGCCCCCGAAAACGGTCCGTATACCGGCTGCTTAGGGTTGGGCCCATATTTAGGAGCACCCGTCGGTGTTGCATTCATCCTACCAGCCGATGGTGGTTGTCCATAACCCGGGAAGCCGGAAGATGGAGTTCCATTGACCGACAGGCCAAACTGTGTTGGTTTACAGGCTGAGACACCGACCGGTGGTAATCCTACACCTGCAAAATTCGTTTCGCATACTGGAAGTCACAAACATATGGCACAAAACTTTCAGAAAATATTCGTTCGCTAGCCGGCTTGCTTTATTCGTTACTGCGTCAACCGTCATAGGTCGACTTTAATGCGTCGAACGTCACGAAGGGATGAAAATTAAGAAATATACGAAGGCTTAAACATTTCCAAAACCTTACGAAAAAAATTTCGTGTCGCAACAAATTAACTCGCCTTATTAAGGGGCCGACATCGTGCTTGCTCGACTTCGAAACGTTAGACGAATTTTCGTAGTCCTAAAGTCGAATCACCAAACCTACTCGTACTAAGCGGCAAATGTGCTACAGCTGTGTGATATGATTTCGATACTTCCAGTTCAGGCGCTAATGCTTAAAAAACTTGGGTACTGCTCACCCAGTGGACGATCGCAAGGTAGGGTTACCAAAACTCTCAGTTGTCCTGGTAGCCAACGTTTACCTGGTGGAGGTCCAAAAATTCCACATTGTTCGCCGTACTCGTTGTATTCATCGACATCTGGAGTTTTTCGTTTTCTGCTGGTACACATTTGGGGTTCTTTGATTTCGATGAACAGTCCGTTGCAGATTTTAGCGTGAGAGACCCACCAGTAGTCAGCCGGGCCAGGCGGCTGATTACGTGTACGCCGGAAATACCCGAAATGCGGCTTGCAGAACTGGCAAGGACCATTGCAGCGCCATATATGCTGACGGAAGTATTCCATTTCAAGAAGGTAACGGTGGCTGACCGTAATGTTAGCACCCGATAACTTGTTAACGCGAAACATCTGCTCGCGGAAATTGTAACCGTGCCAGTCGTCATTATCCTGGTTGTTTGTTACGAAAAGGTAAGCATGAATCATCTCGTGCAGCAGAGTAGCAACGAGATCTTTGCGCGGACGGAACTTCAGTAGTGGTAAACTGAGCGCTATCAAGCATTCTCGTCTCCCAAAAACCCCAGCATATCTGTAATAAGAAAGCAAATAAAAGACAGATGCTTCGACATTTCTCAACAATAGGTCGCTTTTGCTTTATATGTTGGACAGCTGGTCGCGGGTGCATTATTAACCATGATCATGTCAGCTGTGCACTTTGTCGGTAGCAACCAGATATATCAGTATACACTCCAGTGGAGTATAAACGTCATGAGCACTTCGATCAACGGTCCACCATGCAACACTTCACACGGAAGCTCAATGGCCAATTTTTGCGAAAAATCGAAGTACAGGAAACATTTTGCATAAGGTGTTGGGTACTCGTAACAGAAGACATGTCTGATTTTGAATTTTGAGGAAGTTGTGGCTACTGACAATTAGGTTTGTACTGTGCAGTGAAACTTCTCTCAAAATACACTTCTACATAAAAGCTGCTCGGCTCGTTTCTCGTAGAGGATAACACAGATGGGATCCTCTATGTAGCATTAATATTTTATAAGAGCTAATTACACCCTCCAACCAGAATCTGGTTGGAGTTCCAATACAATAGCCGCCCGATCAACATAGACCACGTTCTGGTCCGTTCTTGCCCTGCTCAGTATGAATACCTGTGCGAGCCATTGTAGTGGCTCACAAGTATACCACAGAATGTGTACAGCCAGTACAGGTACAGGAAAACTGCTTTTACAACGTGTGTATTGCATGTGCCACTTGCCAGTGTCCGGGGCAGTTCTATGTTGAAAGCGCTCTTTTCCCATCACAAGCGCTCAGCTTAGAACACTCACCTTGTAGTCTAACCGGAGTCAGAACTTTTATTACAGTAGCGAAACTTCATACTGCAATTGACAATGAAGGCAGTAATCAGGTGCCAGTGGCCTGATTGAAACTTACCGCATCAGTCTGTTGGTCCACTTCACTTTCACCTTCCAGAGAGTATTCCAAAAGTAGTCCGCATCGAACTTTCTGAACAATGCATGAATATCTGGGGTTGGGTCGCGCATCTCCCACACCGGATCAGCCAGCGAAATACCATCAGGATAAGCCTTTTCTACGGCGAATTTACAATTGTGAGGTCTCCGCGCAGATGACTCAGTAGGCAACACCAGCATATCATGCAATGTTTGGGCTAATTCCTCATCCTCCTGGCTTTGATAACCGTATTGGCATTTCTCCTGCAAGCGCACCGTATTAGGGGGGAAACTTTCATTGCAGAATCATTGTAGTGCACTAGCGCTCAGCAAAATTTACTGGGCAATAGCCACCCGAATAACAGTAATCGCATGCGCTGACACACCACTTCACGGTTAAATTTTGAACATAAGAAAACAACCAAAGTACCCTGTATGTTGTTGCAGTACTCCGTATCTGTACAGCAGTCGCAAAAGTATTTTGAAATGGTAGTCTTACTTAAGGGAAATGGTCCAGTACATGGTGTCAAAAATGGAATACATACACTAAAGCTTTTGTTTTTGCGAACTCCGAATAACTTTTTTGTAAAACTTTAGGCTATGGCTTTTTTACCGCATTTTTCTGCAGTGCGTCAAAATAGCCTTTTGCTATTTTGCCGCACAGTGCGCTCAAATAACCTTTTACTATTTTGCCGCAGTGTGGGCGGCGAAATAACCTTGTACTGTTTTGCCATCCACTGCGTTCAAATAGCCCATAGCTATTTTGCCGCAGCATGCCTGTAGCCGGGTGCCTGAGAACGGGTGCGAGGTCTCAACGGGAGTTTTCTTCTTTCCCCGTAGTTCTGGTTCGGGCGATGGGTATGTGCACGTGTTTAACTCATCGCAAGGTAAAATTCTACTGACAAAGCGCACTCGAGTTTTTTTCGGGCAGTGCACAAGCGCAGCGTATCAGGACCTAATCATACGAAGTGATTAATTTACCCCCTTTTTATGTTTTTTTTTAAAGTAGAAAGGCCCACTGGAAGAGCAACTTATCGTTACACATGCTGATATTGTTGCCCGGGTTGTGGAAGCCGTTTGCTTACCGTCCACGCCCTTCGACCAGCCCAGCCTATTAAATTTTGATAAAGATGTTGATAGCCCGGAGAAAATCGGAACGCGAGCACCACATAATGGTGGGGGTGGCAAACAGACGGACACCACGAGTTACCAACGGTGGAAATATATACTGGTGATTGTGTGCACTTGCTAGCAACGACCACCACCCATTTGTGCACTTGGTGACCGAATGCCCAAATAGTGGAAAGTGGACGTCTACGTATAGTCGTATACTCACGGCTGATGACCACATTTTTTACCGCAACCTATTCTTACTGCTGTATTTCCTAAGTAATGCCATCCGTCACGTTGCTAAAAGAATACTGTATTTAAAGCACTGTGTACGTGCTAAAACTGTCCGATCAACCAGCAATCTCATACTATCAAAAACTGGACGTTTTGCCGGCTAATTTTGCGGTGTAAAGCGCTATGACTTATTTGAACGGATGGTGAGAAAAGAACTTATTTATTTCCTGCTATTGTTTCGTGATACACGCTGATTTCAAGGCGATTGTCCAACCATGTGTTTACATCAGCCTGTCAAAAATTATATTACAGTATGTCAGCGTGACAAAAATCAGTTTACGTCAACCCAACAAAAGCGAAACAGAAACGGCAAACAGACGTCCGCCGTAACTCGGCCAGAGAATGCTGACCTTTAGTTCTTTTCACTCTTCGATACTATCAGGATGAATTTGTGAAACTGCCAAACAAGCTTATGCAATTAAGATCGTAACGAGGAGTGTTCAGAGTTCGGAGTTTGCAGACACAGTGATTAATATTATGCAGCGTCGGTCACGCTCTTGAAATCCTGTCGGTCACACCGACATATGCGAATATCACTCGAAGTAGTGCCCTGCCGATTCCTTAATTTAAGTAAAATAGTCACTTATTTTGAAGTTAAAGGTCAAGTATATATTTGTGCATATTAAAATAGTAAAGCCCAGATATTTATCGATTGTTTTTTTTGGATTAAAGGTCACGTTAAACCAGCATGACGCAGTACAACTTCATAAAGTATCCTTTTGAAAAGAGTTTGAAAGCAGTAAAAAATATCGATTTGTGCAGCAACAGAGCAGAATCAAAGGTTATCTGTTATATGCCGCGCAGCAAAACCAGTACCGTCGCAGAGGTCAGCAAAACTGCTGCGACTTTAGAATATCACACTCGCCGTGCAAAATAAAACGAAACAAATATTAATACATATTAACTCAACACAGACAGCATAGTTCAGTCTGCATTCCCAAATAAGCTAATCTAAATTTGGTGCGAAGAAGCTAAGGTATAACTCACCGATGTTTCGGTTGAACCATGCCTTCACTTCCCTTTCCCACCCACATATTTCGACTCAAAAAAGGCGGCCGTTCCTACCTATCGCTGAGCATCTGGAAAGGCTACTGGAGAAACCCGCCCAATGGTACGCCTTCAGCTCAGTAAAGATGGCGGCCGGATATACGTCAACGAATCAGCATACTATTATCGGCATATTCGCTGTGAAAGTAATTAAGCGTCTTGTGACTGCAGTGCTCTAAATGACCACATACCCACCGAAAATTTATTGTAACAAATTATTGTCAAAAAGCTCGTATTCTAGTGATTTACGTAATTCAGAATTAAATAGTCCAAAAGTGTCCAGTTTTCTTACAATAAGTTGGTCTCATTCCTGTTTCGGATTACCGAGAGATAATCTAGCTTATTATGTGAAGATCTCAGGCGTTCGACGACAATTTTCTAATGGAGGAACCTAGTCTTGCTGGTTTTCAGCCAGCGGAGTTAATTACGGTAGGACAGGAATGGGAAAACACGGACAGTCAGATGGCTTTTATGGATGGGTACAACGATCGAACAAAGCAAGTGTTCCGGAAGGGTAGAACTAAGTTTCGCTCTGATGCGCCAGGCCAATATCTCCGATTGGAGTTGCTGTGTATTCATGGAAAAAGAACAGGAAAACGGAAAGCGACAGAAGTTCGTCCGGTTCAAAACACCTTCAGAAAAGAGTGTCCTGCAAGACTTGTTTTTTATTACAACAAAAAGGAAAACTGTATACACTGCACGCAGAGCAGTCTGTATCACAACCATGAACTGTTAGAGGCAGTGTATTCCCATTATCCTTCTGTCCGAAGACTGGCAGCAACAGATCGCGAGAAAGTCAAAGAGCTATTGCGCATGGGAACTGGTGTTAGCGCAATTGTTGCTTCAATGAAACAGAATACGGGGAAGGAAGTGCGCCCGAAAGATATTCACAATATTCGCACTCAGGACAAGGTGAAAATTCGAGGTGCAAAGTCGCAGGAAGAGATCTTGCAGCAAGGACTTCAGAGCGCGAAGCAGACTGACCCTGGGCTGGAGGTCAAATTCTCCTCAAACGCTAAAGGCGACCTCGAAGTACTTGTTCTAGTAACCAGCAAAATGAAGGATACGTTTGCTAGGTATGTTGAAAACTAAGGTCCTTTATGAGTCTATAACTTGGAGTGAAAATGCTTGTACAAGGGAAGTGTACCGCTGTTGGCTAGCGCTAAAAGACCGAAGCGAAGCGACAAAACAGAATCATACGTAGAGATGCAGCAAACTATTGCATTTCCTGTTTGTGATATTCGTAATAAGCTGTCGAACACCGCGTTCCGGACAATAATTAACTAGATAAATTATCTTCGATATATTTAATGAAAATGGAGCGCCAGCCACAGCTTTTTAATCAAAGCCGTCTTTTGAGTGGTAGTTTTCTTTGCTAAAGGGATTGGATAATGTTAAACGGGAGACTTGATGTTGACCGACAAACACAAATTCCTGTTTCTTTGAACAAACATGGCGTTTGCTTTGCTTCGGTAGAAATACATACATACATAATATACATACATAAATACATACATACATACATAATTTGTGCTTGGTAGAAAGGCGGAAAAAATTATCCGTTTACATCTTCACTACGAAAGAAAAATTTAAGTTTCTAAGAGGTACTGGGCAACTGACATTGGTCACAGGTTTCTGTTATAGGCGTTCTGCTCAACGGATGCAATGCTATAAAAATAGACAAAACATGGTAAACGCTGGTATAAGAGTGCCAAAAAAACCATGCCCTAAATAAATACTAGAAATACTTATTAACTGCAGTATCGGTATTAATAACGCAGTGCTTTGTGGTTGCATCTGATAGGTTCCCTGAAGTTTTGTTTATGGATGGAACATATAATGTGACAGCAGAACGGTATCCCCTTTACGTGTTAGCTGCACAGGATAACAACGGCTATACCAGACCAGTAGCCGTTGGATTTGTTACCAAGGACAGCAGCGATTTCATTAGAAAGTTCCTTAGACTGTTCAAGGAAACGTCCACTGTCGAAAATCTTGCTCGGATTTCTACGGTATTTATAGACAAAGATCGCAAAGAAATGGCTGCACTGAGACTGGAACTCCCGACCGCCGTTGTGTTATTGTGCTGGTTTCACGTGCTAAAAAGCATCAAGCTAGAGGTGGCTGCTTCAGGCGAGAGCGTGGAGCGCAAAAAGCTGATGTTTGCTGGATTTCAATCTCTGCTGTACTCGAATTCGATAGACGAATATCACGTTCGCCTCCAGAAATTCGGAAAAGTTTGCTCGGAACAGTTTTATGAGTACTGCGCTCGTAACTGGTTTCCTTGTGTGGATATGTGGGCATCATACACGAGGAAAACAGTGCGCGCCCTAGGAAACAACACCACGAACCGGGTGGAGGCTCTCAATCGCGCGATTAAACTGCTTTTCAGGTGAGAATAACTGCAATCTTTTTTAAAATCCTTGGTATCATTTAGTCAAAAGTGTGCACGTGAAGTGAAGCTTAAGCGAACATTTATTATTAAGATTTCGGCTTTTCTCCCGTAAGCGCGGCACGGATGAAGCCATATCTGACATACGACAGATGTGGTCTGTCATATTATTATAATCACTTTTATTATTATGGCGGCATAAGAGCAGACATCCACAAAGGGACGTCAAGTTGATATAGCGGTAGCGTTGTAAATGCGAAAGGTAACAATAATTTTTGTCTGTTCTGTTCTTTTGCGTTTGCTAACCTATACGGGGAATTAGTGAAATGTAAAAAACCACTAAAGGTCAACCCATATTCTTCTGCCTGTTTAGCTCCCGATTCAGTGTTGGGCCGCCATTCGAGTAGTGATGCCAGTTATG